TTTCCCCTCCCCCTGCCACTTCCCCTTCCCCTTTGCCCCTTTTCTTCCTATTTCACATTATCTAACATTCAAAATGCAGTCTAAGAAAAGCTAAGACTTTCCAATTTATAAATAATGATAATATTTACATCTGTAAATAATACGGCTTAAAATACTTTTATATGCTTCATTCAAATTCGTACAATTATTTCCTCATTTTCAGATGAGTACACTAAGACTCACAGATATTAAATTATTACTCCAAGGACTCACCACCAGTAACTGGTAGGACAAGAAAACTTACCTGACCATCTACGTCTCCCCCCTATACACACACTGACGGAATGGACATAGTTAGGCAGCAGTGAGTTCTGAACCACTGAAAATGTCTATGTGGAGAGAAGTTGACTTCTTGCTGAACACATAGGAAGGGCAATTAAAACACTCAATGAATTGTTGAATTGATAGACTTTGAGAACATTTCTGACCTTGAGATTCCATGATTTTTAAGTATAGTGATGATATTTTTTTCTAGTACTGGGAATCGAACTCAGGACCTTGCGATAGCCAGGCAGGTGCGCCATGGAGCTACATTCCCAGCTGCCATCTTGTTAATGTATTTTTCCCTTCTTTTTTTCCTCTTTTGGTAGCTACCAGAAGAATATTTCTTTCTGCTTACCTTAACCAAAGCCCTGGTGAATTTCACTGAAAGGAGAAGTGTTCTTCACCACAGATATTTTCTCTCCAGAATCCCCAGACCATGGGTCCATAGTTTCTTTCAATCAGTGATACTAAATTTTGGATCCCTGGCATGTCTCACAGAGGATACTGGGGCTGAGAACTGGTAACAGGAGGTGCCATTTTTCTGTCTTTGCTACTATGGCCCGAAACTCAGAGAAAACAAGCCAAAACTTCTTGTCTGTTAGAGGCATTAGTCTCAGTGAAATGAGTCTTGTTTCAAAGATTACTTTGATATTAGCCAATTAGTTGAATATTAACCTAAAGAAAAATAGAGAGGGACAAATAATTTGGATTACTTTGGAATCCTGTAGATACTGAATTATTCTAGTAAACTCTGTTGTGTTTTATCCTGAAAGTCACTAATTTTTTTATTTCTAATATTATCTTAATAACCACAGATTTCAATTAATCTTTTAAAACAGGCAAATGAAGCCTCTGAAAGGGGAACTAAGTATACAATGCCACACCACTAATCTATTTAGATATTTCTTTCTTTCTTTTTTCTTATAGATTAGGTCAACTAATAAAGATAAATAGTAATGATTGATAAAGATAGCATTGATAAGGAAAATAAGCCTAAAAGGAGAATATGGTTTGCTCAAGGACAATTTGGTGTAAAATACAAATTCAGAATAAAGCTAACAAATAAAATTAGAATTATGGTGAAAGATCCCAGGATTCTTCTGGAATTCACTGAACTATCTCAAGGTAACACTCTTGGGTTGATCTCTTAAAAGCAAAAATTGACTTCCTCATGGAGAAATGGAAGAAACAATAATCCTTTTATACAAGATGCTTAACAATTTGTACTGAACTTGGAGTGAGGTCAGAGTTTTAATATTGATTAATGGGCTAGTTGTCTAAGAAGTAGGTTTGAGTCTTGTTTTGAGCAGGCCTTTACTTCTAAAGTTCTTTCTTTATCGTGATGCAGGATGTAGACTCACGGTGGATAATTCATTTATCTTTTGTATTTTTAACATGGAAATAGTGATGCAGTTTTTTTTTATTTTTTTGTTTTTGTTTTTGTTTTTGTTTTTGGTACCAGGGATTGAACTCGGGTTCTTGCGCTCATGCAACAGGCGGTGAAACCACTGAGGTAAATCCCTGGCCCCGTGATGCAGTTTTTAACCAAATATCTCGTCATTATTAGAATGAAATATTGGATGTAAAACAGTTTATCAGAAATGCAAAGATATGAGGTTTCTTCATCTATAGCCTTACTTGTACCATCTTTGAAATGCTGCCTGAATCACATTCCTCCTTTAATGGCAAATGAAAAAATCCAAAGCAATATGGCTTAACTGAAAAAAGGAAGTTTTTATTGTTGTTGTGTGTTTGTTTTTAGTAGAATAGGCTGATCTAGTAATTCAAGCCCAGGATTTTGTAATGTAATATAAATGATTTTGTTAAGAAATTGTCTTTCTCCGTGTCTTCATTCTCTCCATACTCCCTGGCTTTGTGTTCAGTCAGTTTCACTGTTTGTGGCAGAATGACCACAGATACTTTCAAGCTTATATTCCAATAGTTTGGCTACCACAGTGGTCTTGTGTCCATACCTGAACCAATGTTTTGACCAGAGAAACAGACACTTCTGATTGGGTTGGACCGAGTCCTGTACGAATATTCCAATGTCATTTAAACTATGGAAATGAACCAAGTGGAAGAGGGTGGGTTTCTTAAGGAAAATCAAGGTGCTTTTATCAGAAGAAGAATTTAAAATGGTGGGAATACTGGGATGGAAAAGCAGCAGCTGTCTATTAGACCCTCCTTAACCTGCTGAAATCCTACCAATCCTTTAAGGATTATCCCGAGTCTCCCTTTGAAGTCATTCCTGATCCTCTAAGCATGCATGATGTTTTCTTCCTTTGTGTTTCTTTAGCATTTTATGTCTCTTTTTGCTGCTTATTTTAGTGAACTTTGTCTCTCAGATTCTCTATTGTCCACCTTCTTTGAGGGCAGAGATGGTATCTTACTTGTCTTTAAATCTTCAGCTGTGCCCCGACAACTGTCTGATTCATAATAGTCTATGTGCAAATATTTATCGAGTTGAATTCTTAGTGTTATACAAGTTATGAATAATGAAAAAGAAACAAGACAAAGCAGATAATTTTATTATGTACATAATTTATTAGCTGATTAATTGATTGAAAGGCAAACAAGCCATGTTAACTACTCTGAGCAGCCATTTATGTTGAAGAAGAAGAAGTGTAGTCCCAGGAGAACATCCAAACTTTGTGAGGACTTGGAGAGCTGCATGTTGCAGGGCCTACTCTGCATTCACTAACTCTGTGCCTTTTCTTTTTTCCTTCAGTTGTCTGGGTTCACCTCTAAGCTTCTTCCAGCTATCCAGAATGCCCAGAAGAATTCCACTGGCTCTGGAAGAGAAAAGGAATTGACAGTGTTAACTCAACCCATTTTAATTGAGACCTACACGGGGCTGATGTCGTTCATTGGAAACCGCAACAAACTTGGGTATTCCCTCGCTCGTGGGAGTATTGGTTTTTGAGACTTTTTAAATTTTAGTATGCACTTGCATCAAACAGAGATATTCCATAATTGAAGCACTTGTTTTAGCCCACTATATTTTTGCACTGAAACAGTTAATTGCATTTAAATAGTACTATAGGACTTTGAATATTTAGTGTCTCAGGAGATCTGAAAGCTTGATTGGACTGATAGATACACATTTCAGGTCTCAAAGAAGAATAACCAGTTTTCCTTAAATACAGAAAATAAATACTACTGAGCCCATCAAATAATGTTTCAAACGAGTTCCTGATTATAAACTCTGGAAACACGCTGTGGGGTCTTACTTCTCCTGGTCTTTAAAGGCAGACATTTTCCAGGTCTTGATTGTTAGCTCTCTGATCCTGATTTATTTGCTCATTAGGTTCCCACTGTCTCTAATATGTTAGCTACCACTTTTATGCTTATGACTTTCAGATACATATCCCCATCCCCGACATTATTCCAAGATTCAGTTTTACATTTTTTTCTGACAATCATCCACATGGTTCCAAAACCTCTCAGATTCAGGGTTTCCAAACTCCTGGAGTCCTTTGTGACATTTTTGTGGTCTCATTCATTCATCCCTGAAACCCACCAGTTCTGAGTTGTCAAAATTCCCGGTCAGTTATATCCCATATAGTGCTACATCTCCATGAGGCTTAGGATTGTTCCCTGTTATAGTTTAGCTCTGGAATGTCCCCCTCAAAGCCTCATGTGCTCAGATTTTCGAGGCTGACTGGATTATGGGAGCACTATGGCTGACTAGCTGTTAGGAAGGGAAGCCTGGTAAGAGGTGGGTCATGGAGGACATGCCCTAAGGGTGTACCTCCCTCTCCAGCTGCTCCCTTCTCTCTCGGCCTCCTGGCCACCAGGACATGAACAGCTTTTTTCCCCCATATCTTTCTGCTATGCCCTTTCTGCCTCGAAGCTCTATGACCATGGACTGAAACTGTGAGTTAAAATAAACCTCTCTTCTTTTAAGTTGGTGGTATCCTGTATCATGTTTCAGCAATGAGAAAATGACTAACACAAATCCTAATATCCAGATATCAAATCTACAACTCATTTTTCTTTCAAAATTTTTCAAATTCTCCTTCTGTTCTTTGCACTCACAGCGGTAGGATTGGATCCATTTTTTAATTATGCTCACCCGATTATTATCATAGCCTTTTAATTGGGATCCCTACTTCAAGGCTGTTTCAAGCCATCATGCAGTTGGTTGTCAGTTTCCTGAAGCTCAATTTGATTTTATAACTCCTTTATCAAAATTTTTCAGTTGCTCATTTCCTTTTGTAGTTCACTGTTCAAATATATTTTTCAATAGTCGACTCTTTCCTTCTAATAAAATCTTCTGCAGAAACCTAACTATATAGAACAGAAAAAAGGTAAGACCATTGTGGGTGAAATAGAGATGAGAATGTCACTGAACTTTTCCTTTGTAAGTCCAATTTGGAACATCCATGGATCTCAGGGTTTTAAGGACCATGTTTTCAAAACACTGTCCTACTTGGCTTTTGTCCATTGGTCTTTTTCCTTTTATTTCTTTTTTCTGTCTCCTTGACTCAGATCTAATGTTAAATAACCCAAGAGAGTATCTCATCTGTTCTCATCTCTCCAGGATTCTTTTACTTTTTATTTTATATCTGACTTTATTTCCAGGTACTTAGAAAAGAAGCTTTAATTATTGATCACCATAAATATTATCAAAAGAAGCCTTTTGCTTTTCCAAAGACACAAAATTGAGATACCTTGGTTGATATTCAAATTGAAAATTCTAGCTTTTTTTGGTGGTGGTGGGGTTTGTAGGAAGTGTAATTTTAGGTTTTTCTTTGAAAAGCTTACTTCCGCAATTTTGAACATTTGTTCTCTGACACATTCACAAACATCAATTTGATGTAAACATTCAAAACCAAAATTTTGAGTAAAAATTATTTTATTTTTTCCTTGTTTATTTGCATTAATATTCCTTTCCTTTCCTCTTGCTCCCTTTCAATGCATCCTCACTCCCTGATGCCGAATATTTTTATAGTCCTCAAGGCAAGGAACTTCAATTCAGGCTGTGAAAGGAAATCTTGAAATCTTTAGCTGTCCTGTCAACAGTAGTGGGATGAAAAGTTCTGGGATTGTTTTGGCTCTGGATCTGAAGCAGGCATTATTGGCAAATTGTTGTAATATTGCTGGCCAAAATCCCCATATGCCTCAAGACGGTGGCATTTGTTGGTAAACCCCTCTGAAATGTCCAGCACATTCTTTGGAGTTACCATTTAAGGATCATGCTGACAATTTTTTTTTTTGCACATTTGTCTCTCTTGTAATCTAAGCCAGATTGTTCCCAAATGACCTTCAAAGGACACAGTGCAGCAGGATCCATGGAAGGTATCTAGGACGAAAAGAACACAACATTGTCCAGCCTCGAGTTCCGGTCTATAACAATAGTATAAGCTTTTAGTGGAGCCAAAGGTATTTCATAGGAAGAAGGATGAAGTAAAAGATGACATGAGAACTGTCTTTACTTTTCATAAAGAGTGTTAGATAAGATATTGTATTTATTAATAAGTGGGATATAGAAAATAGTATTGTGACCAGAGGGTGAGAATATTCAGGTACAGTATTCAGAGAGGAGGTCAAGATTTAACAAAATAAAACAAACAATAAAAAAACAAGCTTCTTTACAGAACAAAGGGTTACTTCCTGAAACCCTAAACCCCCAATCACTGGACGTATTCAGGAAGGAAAAGGTAAAGTGGATACTGTGAAAGTCACTGCTGCATTACAACATCTGGGGAGATTATATAATGTTTCAGGCCAGTGACCTTATGATTCTCCAAATAATTGTTGCTAAATGTTTATGTAGTTAGACATCTTTCCCTTTGAAAAGAGCTGAAAGAGTCACATGATATCTTGAAAAAATTACCTTAACTTTCCTAATGTTTAACATTCTCATATCTAAAATGGAGATGAGACCACTTCTGCCCATTTTATAGAAGTCTTTTGAGGGCTCAACAACACGAGGTCAAATTCTTCTTTTACTTGTGACTGAACACCTGCTTGGGGAATGTTATGACTTTGTATTAATACACGGGGCAACATCCCAAGTAACATGTTCACTGGGGACCATGAACCCACTGACTACGGTTTTCTCTCTTTTTTTTTTGGTGTCAGGGATTGAACTCGGATCCTTACCACTTGCAAAGCAGGCAGTGGAACCACTGAGCTAAATCCCCAGCCTTTTTCTTTTTTTTTTTTTAACGCTTTTCTCTTTGATACATGGTGTTCTCATTTGTATCCTTTGTTCTTAGCCTTAATAGGGAGCCACAAACTAGGGGAATTATAGGTACACCTGGACTTTTTCTTCAGACTATCATCTGATATGTTTCCCAAAGGGGACCTGTAAATTTAACGGGGAATTGGATTAGACACAGGGAGAATTAAGTACAAAGCATATCACCACCAGAGTGTCTTGGTTGGTGGTCTTCTTTATCTGAAATTTATCTCTCAGGAATTCTCTCAAACTTTCTAATAAGCCTCATTTCAAAAACCGCTTGAGTGTTTCCATTGACAGATTCCTCACAAACTTCTGATACATCTTGGGTAGTTTTGACGGTTAGACAATTTTCTTTGTGTTGACTTAGAAATACTAATGTTCTTCTGCCATCTTTGTCACTAAAATAAAAATGGATTGGAGTGAGGTAAGCTTAGGTTGGATTTTCAGGCTGGAACGTGGGACATTTGGGTACAAAGACAAAGCTGATGGATTCTCTAACATTTATAAGAGGGAAAGCATAAAAAATCACCAAGCCAGACTTTCCAGGGGTCAAAGGGCTCCAACTTTGAGCCATCCTTTAAGGCAGAAAAGAGAAGCTAATTTCTGAGTTAGTTACTTTTTTCTCTTTTGCCTTGAGGCCCATTTTCTTTGTCTCTTTGTTGAAGCATTACTAAGGAAGCCAGCTCACAGAGTCTTGAGGCTAAGGAAGCATATAAACCTTCTAATCCAATGCTTTCCTTTCCCTGAAACTGAAGCGAAGGCCTAGAAACTAGAAATAAATTGCACAAAAAGAAGTTGATAAATTCTTGCGATACTGAGATTAGACTAAATCTTCCCATTCCTATTTTTCAATTACTATTCTTTCTAGTATGATATTGGAAGGGCACATCCTTTGAATCAGTGTATCACAAGTGCTGGGTTAATTCTGAAGTGAGAAAACAATAAGTCACAGTTGTTTAGGGGGAATTTCCAGAAATCATTTTTATTTTCTCAAAGGCTGAGGTCACTCATAGGGCTCTCTGATTTCCTATCTGATCGAAATGCCCCAACATAGCTGCGGAAGACAGCAGAGCCAGCAGGTATTTTGTAAGGCAGATTTACCTGTACCTGGCATTTGGTAGGGCAGGAGAGGGAGGGCAAAAGTATTAAATTTAGGCTTAAAAGCGCCTCAGAAATTCTTTACACATAAGAGACCAAGTTGGAGAAAAGAAGATGACTCGTGCCAAGGGGAAGAAAGAGAGAGGCTAATGCCTGTGGTTTTCAAAAGTTAACAACAACAAAAAAGCCCAAGTATTTGCACAGGGATGAATGCTTATTGGCTCTGGACCAACAATTATACAAGGGCCTGTGCCCACATCCTGTAGCTGTGGTTTAGGGACGCTGCTCATGAGTGACTTCTTATGCTTAGTGGCAGGAAACTTTAGTCACTGATGTGTAAACTTACCTTTGGTCTGCACCTCCCACAATGTACTCTGAAGGCAGTTTGGGGCCCTGGGCTCCTGATTCCTTTGCAGACACCATTCTCCAGAGGTAAAGGAAGAAATTCATTTTGGGGAGGCCTTGGGAGCAACTGAGGTTCATCAATGCTTGCCTTGCTCTACCCGATTATGGCAACACTTTAGGACAATTTTTTAGTCCCAAGAAGGAATTATGATAGATTCACTAAATCCTCTCTTTAGCCTCAAAACTCATTGCAAAATAATGTTAGCCATATTTCATTTCAGTTGCTGTAATCAGCGTGAAATATGAAGGGCAATGTCATGAGCTAGGTTCCTAACCTGGATTATGTGTCTCATATGCTGTTTTAGGCTCAGAATTTTTAAAAACTTCTGAAGAAATGTCCAAGAATTCCCTTCTTCAGTGAAGCTTAATGGAATGCACAAGCCCAGTTTAATTAACTTTTGCACTTGTAAGATACATATGAGAGATCACGAGGCTCTATTATGAATGCAGAATGTATTGGGATTAAATTCGCTGAACCACCACTTTGCCTCTGGTGTCTTGTCTATGTTTATCCCACGCATCTCAGAAATTTTCTTTCCTTCCTTTCATATTCCTTACTGTTTATGGAATAATTGAATTTGAGGTTGAAAGGGGCCTAAAAGTTCACCTTGTTTGTCCTGCTACCTATTGCCAGAACAAAAATATGTACACCATAAACACTCCCTGAGCATAGAACCCTTCACTTTCTAAGGAAGTTACTTCTGTTATCAATGGGCAGAAGGAGCGCTTTGTTCAGTTTACATAGAAATCACAAATAGGCAAAGTGCAGTAGCTGTCAACAGACATGAGCTTTGAATGGCAGTGTCTATCAACTCTTAGAGTTAGTGGTCCTCTGCCATTTTCTGGCAGTTTGAGACAGCAGCTACTTGCAGCTCTGGGGAGCTCTTCCAGGGACCAAAGATGGAGACTTCCAATGATTCTCTGTTGCTCTTTCTCATTGGCTGCTGGCCACCTTCAGAGAGGGTGCTGGCTGCTTCCATAAACCAAAAGAGGCAGAAATATGTCATCTGAAAGAGGCTTTACGAGGACCTGTGCTGCAGCATAAGGGAGCAGTACATGGAATGACCCACTAGAGGTACAGGGAGTTTGCTTATAGAAAGAAAAAATGCAGCCTCAAGCATGTGCAGTTCGGTCATGTGAAGGGGGCGCCTCTTGTAGACCTAACTGAAGATGGCTACAGAGGGTCAGAGTCATCCAGAGAGGCTGCCGCTGGAGTCATCTGGATGGACTTGCTAAAAGTCTGCCAAAGCAAATGTCTTTTGGAGGCTGGAAGGTGACAGGACATCTGACATGGCCATGATGAGCCGCAAGGTGTTTGGAGCAGCCAAGGAAAAATGAATAAATAAATAGTATCTCTTTGGGAGTGAGAGGTCTCTCCTGTCTCATTTCCATTAAGTAATTGCATCAGGTAGGTTTTTCAGCATATTGCACTCAAGTCTTCTGCCTTGGGAAGTTATTGATTTTGTCCTAGACCTTCTTTTGTTGTTACCCCAAATAAATCAATTTCCCGTTTCACATGGTCACACTCTGAATGAAGGAAGTGAACTGGTACTCTCCAACACATAACGATGGTGGTTTTATTTTTGTTTTCATTTACTGACTCCAAATTTTCTGTTACCACACAAATTTTTATGTGATACATTATCCAGGGCCCCTGTCGAACTTGTCCTTTCCTTATGGACTATCCTATTTGGTTAACATTTCTATTAAAATACTACATGTAACACTTGACATTGCAGTTCAAATATAAGTTGACAACTGCAGATTAGAATGGTGTTGTTCTGTATTAACCACTTTGTTGATATTAATAAAATCCAGGTTTTCTCTTTCATACTATTTATTCACCTGAGATTTAGGGTCAACTTTATGTGTACTGTCTATAGTAATTTTTTTCTGATTTAGTAAATTCATTCAAGGAACAAATGAAACTGTGTTACTATGGATTACCCTTAGTAAATGCTTATTAGATGTCAATACTAACAACTTTTTTTTTACTTTTTCATGTGTTATGTGTTTGTTAATTTTTTCTAGATTATTTTATATTTTGTCTTATAGTTTCATCTTGAGTCACTGTCAGACTTACACGTCCATACCTCATTGAAACCAACATTATTTCTGAAAGGGTTTTTTTCTGCCTTTATCTCCCAGGACAAAACAGATAATGCTGTCACTATGAACAGTAGAGCAAAATCAATAAATATAATGATTTCATTTACAGATAACTTTGAGACTGACTAGTTGATCAACACATTGCTAGAACAAAGATAGATGGGCAGCCAACCTAAGTTCTGATGTATGAACATGAGTTAACTGAAGTCTCACTGAATCAGAACTTGCCACTGCAGGAAATAATCATCCTCATTGAACTCTGAGATTCCAATTCAATGGCAGCATTTCCTGCTATCATTCTCATCCCCAGAGAATAGCCACCATGGACTGCTGAAGAATTTCCATATCCCCTCACAAATGTGCATCTCATGGCCTTGGGGAAGAAAGCATCTCTAGACCTTCCTGAAGAAATCAACAGATATGTGAAAATGTCTTATGAAATCATTCACTTTAATATACCCACTTCCCTAAGCCTTTGGATTCCCTCTGGCATTTCATCTGCAAGAATACATATTTCCCTTAGATCTATTTTTTAGTTGATTAACAAAGGAAGTATTAGAGCCACTCATAGCATCCCAAACACATTGAAACTAGAATCTTGGCCCAGCATACTCTAATCAATAAATTCTCTCTAGCCTAACATTATATTTTTATCTAACACCCTTAAGTCAGTTCCCATGCATGCTCTTCTGTTTATATAAATTGGCAAAATATCCAAATTATTTGGGGATCTATTATATCTTATCATGAATCTCACTTTTTAGACTACTTTTTGGGAGTTGGTTTTGATTATAAGTTTACAAACAATTCAAAAGAAAATGAATTATTACACATTTAATCAGATACTCCAACTGTGCCTATTGATCTCAGATGTAGAGATGTTGCTTTTGCAAAACAATACATTCTCTAGTATTTAATGATTGCTTGGTGGATTTCCTCCCTTTTTCCTTCCCTTCCTCTCTTCTTTTCTTCCTTCCATCTTCTTCCTTCCTTCCCTCCCTCCTTCCTTCCTTTTCTTTCTTTCTTTCTTTCTTTCTTTCTTTCTTTCTTTCTTTCTTTCTTTCTTTCTTTCTTTCTTTCTTCCTTCCTCCCCCCCCTCCTCTTTCTTTCTTTCTCTCTCTCTCTCTTTCTCTCTCTCTCCCCCCTTGTCATTAAAATATCAGGAACAGTTTGATTTTAGCTAACCAGACTAACAATGCTGTAGAGCTCATGCACAGGGTGGCTAAAATACACAGTGAATATTTATATTAAAAAAAATTACAGTAAAAGAGACATTATCATTAACCCCCCTCAAACACCCCTCCTTGCTTTGAACATACTTAGGTCATCATTCTTACCACTTTCTGAAACAAGCTGTGGAAATCATCCTTTGTCACTTTATGAGGTGTGATCAAAACTATGGTGAATGCTGCTGCTGAGTGTCATCTAACAGAAAGGCAGGTCTGTACAAATATCATGCTATGTCCTCTTCCACTTCATTCACAGGATCTGGCACCACACAACTTCTGGCTTTTCCCCACAGTCAAAATGAACATTAAAGCAAAGGTTTTAAGTCAGTTCAAGACATTAAGGCAGCTATGACAACCAACACAACTGAAGTCACAAAAGAGAACTCCCTCAAATAGTTAGGGACAGTGTATCTCACTTGGGTCTATTGCTTGCACCCACTGAACAAATAATGCCAAAGTCAGCTGGCCAGTTATGAGTGGAGCCCAGAACAGGGAAAGAATCTGGAATAGATCCAGTATTCTATATATGCTGCTTTCCTATACCATACCTGGGCTACGTACCTCAGGAAATCCAATGGTGCTTGACCTACTGTTGTCAAATAAAGACATTCTATAGAACTTTGGTCAGCCCCTCTACATGAATCACTGGACAGACCTCAGATTTTTTAATGTATGTCATTCTCCCAGATAATTGTACTATATTCCTTTCAAGAAACAGATTTTGGGTTGCTATTGGGATATAATAGAGATATAATAGACGGATACAATAGAGATATAATAGAGAGTGAACACTTGACCACAAACCAGTAAGTTGCTATGCAGCGTCACTGGCCCATCATGTACTTAGTGTTGCCTGATCTGCTAAACACATACCCTATCTTCATTTGGAGGAGGTACACAAGATAAAGTTCAAGCAGGTTCTGAAGGCATGAGTAATTTGCATAAACAAGTGTCCCCGAGGACTGCAGCACCTATTCCCAATAATATATTTTCTTCTCTCACATCACACAACTGTGGCCTTGGGACAGGGGATTCCCAATAACTAGTGTACTGAGGAAAAATCAAGCTGGATGGTTCTGCTGCATCATTTGAAAGTGGACAGCCATGGGACCTCCTCTAAATTGATTTTAAAGAAAATGGTGAAGGAAATTTCTCCTAGAGACCAAAATAAATTGAATGGCATTTTTGCATTCTGCTGGATGACTGTTCATTTCAAAAATGAAGAAGTTGTGATCTAGAGAAAAGATATGACCTTGTTCCTATCACACATACCTAAGAGGAACAACACAGCTTGCAAGTGGCAGAGACATGATGCTGCCGCTTCCACTGTGCCTGTATCAGGTTAAGTTTCATATAACATAAACCGCTTCATTCTTAAAGACAAGAGGTTCTCATAAATGGAATATGCACTTACCACTTCATTAGAAAAGCTGGAAGCAGAGCTGGAAGCTGGATTCTAGAAGTAACTCTCAGAATAACACTGCAAAATCTCCCCAAAGCATTAGTTGGCCCTACCATAAGCAGAAAGGTAGGTGAGCAGGAAGTTGATGTTTCAAAAGCAGGCATCAGAATCACATCACCTTGGCCACAATCTAATGATCAGGAACTTCTGTGAGAACTGCTGACTCCAGAGACACATTGTTTCTGTCAAATTTACATGAGCCAAATGGATAGGACACTTTCTGCTCCCTTCTAAGTTACCCTGAATCAAGACCTAGAAAGGGCATTCTATTTCTTCCTCTTAATATAATTGCAAGGATTTATGTAGTGCTTAATATGTACCAGGCAATGTTCTAAAGGCTTTGCTTTAGCCATATCAATGGATCCTCAAATAACTGTTTTCAAGAATGTCGTATTAATGTCACCTCTTCCATTTTGAGATGAAGAAAGTAAAATAAAAAGTGGTTAAGAAATTTGGCCATATATGATGATTTCCCCTCAAATTCAACTCACTCATTGATTACTTGATGTTGAGGAAAGATCTGATATTGTGTTCCTCAAGTACTATTTAAGTTGAAATCTGGAAATAGGGCTAAAGACAATGTCTTTCTGCAGACAGTTGTTGAATGCTCAATGGAGAGAAGACTAAACATGTAATCAATGTTAATAAATTTCTGTAACCCCCACCCCAAGAAAAAAATTGGGGTGGGAGGGGGAGAAAAAATTTGGCCAAGATTGTTCAGTCTTAGATAGAAGAGCTTGATTAAATTAGAACTTAATCAGATCCCAAACTGTAACTGCAACTGAATCTGAGAATGGTAATAAATAGCTGCCTAACCTTTGTTGTACAAAAGATCGACTAGAACAAAGTTGGAATAGATGTTGAAAAGGCTGTTCTATGGAAGCCACAGCCTGACATATGTCACAGATAATGGTTCAACAATTTCTCCCCTGATTGAAAACTTTTTGATGGATCCTAATTTGTCCTGCAGTTCAGGCTTTCAGTAAATATGATCTATGACAGTGATACCATAGGCTTCTTGGCTTCAGCCCACTTTAGTAGCACATATTTAGGCTTCTGTTTAACCAATGTCTTTCTATGGTCTGGTTTTACAGAGGAGCATCCCAATTTAGGCCTTTTCCCTGCCTTTAGATAGACATTGTATAAATAAAAATTTTGTCAAAAGATCTTTTCCCCCCAAAGACTTTGTTATGGTTGCATCAAAAATATATAGTAACACTCAGAATGTGTCATAGCTACAGAAAGTGAAGAAAAGCATTTTACTAGAAAAGAAAAATCATATTGATAACTCAATGAGTGATGTCCCAGAATGCTAGTCTGGAGTTGTGGGAAGAGAGATCAGTTAGAGGAAGCATAGGTCACAGCTACAGGAAGCAGAACATGATGACCCGGTAGAGAAGATTCTCTGGCAGGAAGAGGTGTGTCAGGAAGAGGTGTGTCAGGAAGAGGTGATAAGCTGACTCTTGAGGCCGGCTGTTAGCTGCAGGAGGAGAGAGCTGCAAACCGTGGAGACCAGTGACTGTAATGACTTCACAGATAATGGTTCAATAGTACAGGCAGGGAATGAAGGAAAATGAGTGACTTTCATGGGCAGTACAATGTGTTTGTATTTTAAATAAGTTAGGTTTGAAGGGTTACAAAACATCCAGTGAAAATGTTCCTGTCTCACAGGTGCACATGAAGATATGTTGTCCAAGAAACAGGGGTTTTGCAGAGATAAAGGTCAGGGAGTTATCCAAGAATGAGTGGTCATTAAATCTTGAGGTTGCTTAGAGTGAGAGTACAGAACAGTGTCCACGAATAGAACTTTCTGCAGCAATGGAAAATTCTATAATTCTTAATTTTATCCTGCCAATCACAGTAGTCACTGGCTATGAAACATGGCAGGTGAGACTAAGGAACGGAAATGATTTTATTTAGTGAATTTAAATTTATTGAACCACATGTGTCTAGGGCTATCCCATTGGGCAGCACAGGTTGGGGTGAAGAAAAGAGATGACTGAGGATTAAATCCTTAATAATGGCAATATTTAACACCGAA